TCTTCATTTGATCTCCATCACCTTCTCTGCTCCTCCTCCTCCTCCTCCTCCTGCCCCCTACTCCTCCTCCATGACCTTCTTCATTTGATCTCCATCACCTTCTCTGCTCCTCCTCCTCCTCCTCCTCCTGCCCCCTACTCCTCCTCCATGACCTTCTTCATTTGATCTCCATCACCTTCTCTGCTCCTCCTCCTCCTCCTCCTCCTGCCCCCTACTCCTCCTCCATGACCGTCTTCATTCGATCTCCATCACATTCTCCGCTCCTCCTCCTCCCCCTCCTCCCCTCCTCCTTCTCCCCCTACTCCATCACCTTCTCCCCTCCTCCTCCTCCTCCTCCTCCTGCCCCCTACTCCTCCTCCATGACCGTCTTCATTCGATCTCCATCACCTTCTCCGCTCCTCCTCTTCCCCCTCCTCCCCTCCTCCTTCTCCCCCTACTCCATCACCTTCTCCCCTCCTCCTCCTCCTCCTCCTCTTCCTGCCCCCTACTCCACCCCCATGACCGTCTTCATTCGATCTCCATCTCAGGGGCAGGTACGTTTATGTAAACACAGGGTACATTATATGCTGAGAAGATACGGCCAGGTCTGGTACACTTGTGTGTGATACGTACCTCTATATCGGTCTACATATCTGTAGTACCTGATACGACAACGACAGTGTGGCGGAGAGGGTCTATGTCCCCCAGGGTACTGCCGCACTAACGAGTCTATGGAGTCGCCTACGTCTACTCCCTAACACTAACCCTAACCCTAACCATATCAGATAGTTACCAGGGTACGTTCCGGTATAGCGGTCCGTACCCAGGGTACGTTCCGGCAGTAACCTGAGGGACATAGACCCTATGAGCGACAGTGTGTTACAGATAAGCATTTGGACGGCATTTACAGGAAATTGTCGGCAATAATAGGTGAAAGAGAGCAGAGAAATATTAAGACTTTGGTAGTAAATAGATTCGATAGATAAAAAAATATAGATATTAAATAGATAATTTCGTTATTTATTTAGCATTATATTTTATTGAAACGCTCCAAGTGCCTGCGCCTGTGCTCCAGAATGCCAACATGCCGTGTTAGAATGACGCTGCGTATAAGCGTGAGCCGCTCGATCCCGTGCCACGCTCTCGTTAACAGGGTGACATCATCGCCCGGATCCGCTCCCGCTAGTTTTTGCGAAACACGATCTTCACTACTAGAGTTCCTGGTTTCAACCGGCGTGTATAGTGTGGCGCGTAGACGCGAGCCCCCCCCCCCCCCGTGGGCGCTTATGTGTGACGTCGTTGAGTAAACTCTATGCTGTGAGCCGAATGCAAATTAGATTAACAAACTTGAGACTGCTTACGTTTACGTTTGCCGGCTGTTTTCCGTCTATAGGCGACGTTCGATGGACGACGCGGTTGCTCGTGCAGCGCTCACAGAACATGTGGCGACGATACTGGAAACTTAGTTGACGAACGTCGGTCGTTATATGTGCCGTCCTGCGACATCAGAATACACATTCGTGCGCTCTCGTGCGTTTACTCACTCACGTCTCATCTCACACCGAATTCATATCTCACACCGAATTCATATCCCACACCAAATTCATATCTAACATCGAAGCGATGCTCAGGGATAGAGAAGATGTCCAGTCCTATCTTATCAACTAACATCATCCTATCCAATCACCGTACTGGACATCATCTATCCTTGAACCGCAATCTCTCACACCGAATTCATATCTCACACCGAATTCATTTCTCACATCGAAGCCATATATCTCACACCGATTTCATATCTCACACCGAATTCATATCTCACATCGAAGCCATATCTCACATCAAATTTAATATTCTCTCACCGAATCCATATCTCACATCAAATTTAATATTCTCTCACCGAACCTAAATATTTGCAGCGCCCAAGTCCATATCTCGCGCGTTTTAGCACTGTTGTCGTGTGTCTTGGCGTCGCACCCACTTTCCGCTACATGTGGGCGATGATGCCCGCAGACTGGATGCAGGAAAAACCTACTCAGCTCAGCGATGCATTTGTATCCTTTACGATCTCCGCGTGAGGTCGCTTGGCGGCACGCTGTACGTTGCTGCCGCGCTCGCTGCTGCACGCCGCTGGTCTGCAGCTCTTCTTGCGGCAGAATGAGCGGGTTCACGTACACAAACGCGATTATAGCGAGCGCATGGTGCCGATAGGCGGCAGCACTAGACTGCTTTTACATCAAAATCAAACGGACAGCGAAAGAAGCGAATTATTTTACGAGGCCCGTTGACATCTCGTTAAACAATTTCATTCTGTTTCGCATAACTGTGGGTTATTCTTTACAATATTTTCATGATATCGCACGGATAATACATGTTGCAAGAAACGGCCCCCGGTCGCCCGCCATACACTAGGCTCTATTTACTTTCTGGTAGATGTATATATATCAAGAGTAGATAATAACACAATGTGTTATTATCTACTCTTGATATATATGGTGCTGTCAGGTCGTCCGAAAGAACAGAATACAAACACAGAACAGAACAGAACAGAAAAGAACAGTCGTGTACAGAAAACAGAAATTTGCCATAAACATCTTGTGTCCAATTTGGACCAGGTACATCTCTGATAATACCCTAGCTAATGTTATCCCAGCTACGATGTTGTTTGACTGTTTACAATCATCTAACGTTCTTAGTACCTTTAACGACACCACGCAGCCGGTACGGTTATCGAAATAAAGGTAACCTGGACAATCTATCCGGTGTAATGAAAAATATTCGTTCGCATTTATTGTTTTCTCCAGCGGTATGTCTGTACAGACACCACGGAGATGTGTTCGAAGAATTTAATGTTCGTAGCATCAAGCGTGTTACTTTGTCACTAGACGAGCGGTCGTGGCAAGGAAAAATGCTCAGTTCGCGCATCTAAATGCATAGGTGCCGCGGCAAAGTTTTTTTTTAGAAAAGCAGGCAAATTTGCACATTTCCTAGACAGAATCCGTGCGCGTAATGCATCGCGGCTGAGAAAATCTTCCCCGAGGATAAATAATATCACAGGTCAACAAAAATATCCACGCCGAGTTGATTTTTAAAATACACAGATCGCTGTTTTCCGTAAATTTTGCTTTATTCTCGTGGGCATCGACTCTGAGTGCCAAAATCGCGAGCGCCGCGTTTTTCTGAAATCGCGTGTGACGCACTAGCCTCGCGCGCATTGAGCTCCGACTGAAAGAAAGCTTGATTTCCAATGATAATCATGTGGTTATTTTGCCTAGACAGTCGTGCATGCAAGCGCTAGATCATAATGAACCCTGCGCAATTTTGATGTTCTTTGGAAAAAGTTACAATAATACTGTCACGCAACATCGCTCGTTTGCTCAATGGTTGTATCATGTACAGTGTGTGCTTCCAGGGCAGGTAGTTAAGCCAAGTAAATAGAAAATTATTGACGTATTTTGTTAGACCCGTACCTTTCTAATTAATTTCTTTATTTCTTTACACCATTTCCTATTAGTACGTTCTAATTATTCTAACCGTGGTAGATTATTTAATATTATTTACGTTAAAAACAGGCTTGTTATATAGCGTCAATACTTAGTAATACATGAATTCAGTTGCTTCTATTGTCATTATTATTGCAGAGGGTTGGTTCGTCGGCACAACGACATAATTCCCTTAAACTAAATAAAACTGCCAGTATACAGTAATCAGTGTACAGAATACAGTACGAACCTACTCCATGGTACGTTTCCCACGCCTTATTTAGTACACTATTTCTCCAGTTCTCTGGTGAATGACCTTAAAAAACAGCTTAAAGGCCAAATGTTTGACTTTAGTTCTGCTAGCCTACCCAGCTCGTAAAACCTACGAGGAATGCTAGGTTTGTACGATTACAGCGGCCGGATACCGGTCAGTAACAACTACAGCTATTCACTAAGAAGATCCTAACAGCTTTGATGACCAAATATTATTTTCATACGCAGCCATGCGTATCAACGCTGAGTAATCATGCAACAATATCACCACATTCTCATTAGATCTTTGCACAGGCGAACATGAGAATCACACTTCAGTTAATCCTCATGCAACTCATTTTTTTCCTATAGTTAATTCATGTTACTCATGTGGCGTCGTTTTAAGCAAACGATTAAAAGTCATGGGTGAATAGATTTAATTTTTCATTCGCGTTTCGGGAGGACACACCACATAAACTCTATACGTCCAACCAAGTAACGACCTGAAAGAATGCTACGTTACAAAATGTTGTCATTATGTCAGGGGAAATGTATAGCGTATGTCTCAACTCGGTACTAAGGCAAGCCATGCCCAAAGAATTGCAATATTTTTTCTTGAAATATGATTTTTTGTATAGAGAGGCAAACAACGTTAAGGCCAAAAAGTATTTGCAGGACGTGCGGCTATACGCCCACTGACTGTGTGATTAAACGGTTTCATTACTTTATTACATTGTGTTACGTTAGTACAGTGTATTACATTAAACCTATGATTTTAATACTACGTTTTTAGCTCGCCTTGACATCGTAAAGATGAGCTATTGCCATGAGGTGTCGTCCGTCGTACGTCCGTCCGTCCGTCCGTCCGTCCGTCCGTCAACATTTGGCTACGGTCAACGATAACTCAAGAACCATTTGAGCGGGTTGACCGCCTATTTTGGAGCACGCCAGTCGACCTACTGTCGAGCCACGCCCACTTTTTGGCAAAAATGACAATGGCTATCTAAATTTATTCGATTTTGTTAAATTTTGGTATGTGGATGTGTGAGGCTAGCCCCAAAACAGTTGTTACTCCTATGGGAGAGATGATGTCCTATTACGTTTATTTCGTCTAACTGGTCAACAACTCTACAATCATACCTATATACGTGTAATATTGTGTTTTAGATTCTTCGTTACAGTAATTTGACTGGAATATTTTATTGTTTTTATTTGCGCGATATTCGAAAACCAAAATGGCGATCATTTAGACGTAGGAGATCTCTCGTCAAGATTTCAGACTTTCAGATCTGAAACATTTATTTTCGCATCAAAACTTATGCATATATCATTATCAAGAGTATATAATTGGAGATATGCTATATAATGGGAGTTCTCCCATATATACTCTTGCTTTATATATCCCCCCCCTCCCTCTTCTATCACACCCAAGGTGAGCTACAGTGTCATAATTACATAGTTACATTGACACATTCATTAATGCTTCACATAACATTGTATGATTCACATAACATTGTATCTATTGTATCTATTGTATCTATTGTATATATTGTCTATGAAATTTCACGGTGTGCTAATAACAGCCAACTCTTTTGCCCAATTTCTGCTGATATTGAAAACTGGCTTGACCCCTAGCGAACACAATATGTTACCTTACATTATGTTACATTACACCTATTTACTAACCCTTACTACTTTATTTAACTAAGAAACCGTGTGATAGATGTGATCGTGTACTAGGTTACTGGGTTCGGTTAGTCGCAAATTAATCTAGTTTACATGATTCGTTTAAATATATTAGTTTACGTGATACTGATTGATCATGATCCCAAAACTGATTACAATGAAAATATATGAAACTTTTATGAATATTAACCATGCATTTCTTATTTCGGTATAGTTTCTCGTTAGTTTTTTAGTTATGTATTTGTTTTTGAAATTATCTTTATAAAATTCACGGCAAGTGGTAATTCAAATACAACACTTACTGGTGGAAAATGAGATTTTCTTAAACCGAGTTTATTCTATTGACTTTTAGTTGAGAAGATGTCGAGTTATAGTTTTTAGTGCTAGAGTAAATAGAGAGATAGAAAGAGAGATAGATAGATGACTGGTTGGCTGGATGGATGAATAGATGGATGGATGGATGGATGGATTGATGGATGGATGAATGGATGGATGGATGGATGGATGGATGGATGGATGGATGGATGGATGGAACGACTATCACGAGCCTAGGTCGAGCCGTTTAGATTTGTGCCGCAATTCTGCATTTCCTCCCTATACCTTAAGTTAAGGAAGGAATGTTCCCCCTTCTTTTACACCTCTTGACCTTTGCTTTGACCTTTGACCCCCAGCTTCGACATCCCAACTCGTTTTGACGATCCCCCCCAACGTCCCGAATATCGTGACCGTACGTCGAGCAGTTAAGATTTGTGCCCAACTGTTGACGAACGCACGCACGGCCGGACGGACGGACGCACGCTCATGCGATTCTACAAGCTGCATCTGACTATGTCAGATGAGCTAAAAATGGAACGATGTTTTCTATTATGGACTATTGATATTATCAATACCTGTTCAAACCTTTAGCATATGTTGTAGGTTTATCACTCATTATTTAGGTTTTATTAAATAATTGCAAACGAAACTACATTGGCTCTTTCACGATAATAACAATAATTATTTAATAATGTCATGTTCAAGATATTATTTTGCGATACTTGCATATGCAAGACGCGGTCTTCAGAAATAAATTGCCAATTTGTAACGTCGAGCGTGACGTTACACCAAGACTTGAAGAGTGAGGAGAGCAGACATGCGAATTTTCAGTCAAAACTAAACACGAATAAATTATTAATACAAACGTAGACGGTGTATTCTGGGACTATGGTGTAACTTTGTTCGCGTGGGAACGAAGGAACGTAACAAGGGAAAACAGTCCTACACACAAGGCGCCGTGGTAGTCAACAGAGACCGTCCTGACGATAAGATGTGGCCCCTATTATACCGTAGGTCTGACCTTGCCCAACGGCCAGGATAACTACTAAAACAATGTCCAACCTCGTGTTATCATGTGTCAGGGACCGGACCCTAGCTGTGATGCCATTCGTTACTGTGCAAATATCGCTTTTACGCCAGTCGCACATGTACGAAGTATGCTCGCCCCCATGTATCCTGTGTATTTACAATTCTCATGGGCCGTGTAAGACCTATTTAGATACAGGCGCAGCTACCGTGTGCTCAGGAAATATATAATTTCTTTGCGACTCGACGGCTTTAACGTTGGTCGTTCTAACGTGGCCGATTATTGCCAGGTTCAACGCGCACGCTACATATGCACTCGGGCATTACTTGTGTGAACTGTAGAAACATGGTAATCATTATAAACAGAAGGTGAAATAATTTTGAGAAATTAAAACAATCAATCACATAATTTTATTAAACTCTGATAACAGGAGTAAACAACAGGGGCTAACGTAAATTAAACTCTCACAATATAACACTTGATATATTGACTCGCTTATTATTTTCAAATATTTATTGGACCACTGTCCTTCAGGATTTATCCTATTGGATTTTTCCATGATTTTAACACTAGAGTATCCACAGAGTAAACTAGATTAGCTTTTGGCTTGCCAGTATACATCTTCAGAATCCACAGATTTATCTGCAAGAAAAGTAGACTCGAGTATGAATGAACTAAGAAATGATATGAGGAGAAATATCATTCACACCATTCTATCAACTGCATTTATTGCTTAAACACATCAACAGGGAATAAAACGATTTAATTAGAAACTACCTATGGCAGTGCATACATAGGTGCCCTACTAATGATCGCAGTTAGGACAGCAATAATCACATTCATGCACATCAAATGGTAAAGTCAAGAGGCTAAAGCTAGAGCTATATACATCACCTACTGAATTTACCTATTTTAATAAAAGTATATATAAAATAAATGCAACTACACGTTTTTAAAGTCATTATCACCAAAACATTATAATCATGTGCAGCTACTGAAAATAATAGAGATTCATCGATTGATTAATAAAGCTTTTGTCATAGACAAAGCCATGCTTAGTTATGAGAGACCAATATTTATTACATAAGATCCAATGCACTCTGTGAATGGCGATGAACGAGAACAGGAATGCAAAGTAAATGAAAGAGTACATGGGGGGGGGGGAGCAACTGCAGAAAGAAAACTAAAGGAAAAATGAAGAGAACTGGAAGTGCAAGGTAAGAGGTGATCATAAGGAGCAAAGGGAAATTAAGATAAAGACAACAGAGAATGATGAAAGGAGAAAAAGTGTGATGAATGAACAGGGGTAGGATGACGCAGGGAGCGGAAGAAACACTTCACCTCATGCACTCTTTCTCTTCTACACTTCCTCTTCTCCATTCTAGTGGATGCTAGCTTGATAATGATACACTATAACACGTGTCACGCCACTACACGTAATAATACAATAAAATACAATCTATAGTTGCCAAAATTTCTCTAAAAGAAAACCTAATTTTAAAGCCACGTAAACAGACACCAAAAACTTCTTTTTATCGGGAGACGATTTAGCATAATAGCAAGAGATAAGAGATCTTGAGGGCTTCTATTAATACAGTCAGGCAATGCCAAGGTTACGAGTGTATGTAGAAAGTAATTTCGAGAGTGTGTTGGGTGTCGAAGCGAAGAGAAGTTATTTGGCCAAAATAGGCAAGCAATGTATTATTGTGGTGCGTATCGTTGCCATTTAAATTAAATATACATGTCAACAAGTAGCACTTGGTCTCGCAGCTAGCATGTGAATCGTGATAATTAACTGTTCCTGTGCTGATGTTGTTAGGCCGAGTCACTAAGAAAATGGAACCCCAAATGTGAAATAGTGCTTATTAATAACACTAACAAGTGACTGAAACAAGAGGGAAATTGTGACGTCCCCTCCTCCCCAAAAAGGCAAAAGCATAAAGTACACCTTTAGAACTTGAAATGCTATTATAGGTTAAAAATTATTTATTTAAGGCCTAACCGTTTTCTCTGCACACTAGTAGGATTACTCTCACTGATATGCAGTCTGGTTAAATGGAATACGTTTTCTAGTGCTTATGGCATTAGATGGTCATTTGTGACGCCACATCTATCTAGTATAAGTCATTAAAGCAGATGGGGTCGTTGTCGTATCAGGTACTACAGATATGTACCCGACGTAGTTTTAGGTTGTTTAGTATTATGTTTATATTTTTATATGAGATATGTTTAGGGTTAGGGTTAGGGTTAGGTTTAGGGTTATGGTTAGGGTTAGTTTTAGGGTACACTTCTGTAGTACAAGTCTGGTTAATTTTGTGTATACATATATGTACCTCGGGTACATATCTGTAGTACCTGATACGACGACGACCCCTTGAGCGTCACTAAACCTTGGTTGTGGTGTGATATTTACCAATTTTATTGTCTTTAACCAATTTTCCAATGTGAAGCAGGACATTGCCTTCTGCAGCCTTATGCAGCACGACAGGGGTGTCCTACAATAAAACAAATGTACTTAACATAAACACACATACTCATGGTATCAGAAACTGGAAAAACAGTCCAGTTCATCCATCTAAAGTAATTCGAATTTAAAAGGAATGTACGACTACTAGAAAAATCCATCCATATGCATAGAAACTTTTTTTTAATAATCCATATTAATCTCTTATATGCTCTTAACCCATTTTACTTTAAAATGAATAATGCTAGGCAATTCCAGGGTAGAACCAGAAAGAACAATATCATCATGTGATGCGTTCCATCTATGATTACCACATATATCTTTTTGACGATCTGCATAGCAGTGAGTGGAGAACTACTTTGCTTCAGAGTATCATATATTTGGCTTTCTCTTAGCAGCCGATGCTTAATGTACTCTTCTATCTTCGGCATAGGGTTTCGTATAACAGGGCCATGACCTGAAAATTTAAAAAGTATTTATTCAATTTCTCTCCAAGCAGCAAGAAGAAGGGACTGAACGTTTGAATGCAACGGCTGGTATCTCAGCAGCATGCAACATACAACGCTGGCAGCACGCTCACACGCATGTAGGCACTCTGCACACATGCCGCGTGTGTACAGTAATAGTAATAGGCACACACCAACCAGATTTAAAAAAAACGATATATCCGTTTGGTTGAGCAAACAATTTTATACTTTTTTTGAGCTGGTCATATATGCTGATGAAATTATGAAATTACTAATAAACCCATTACTTGATAACTTCACATTCGGATGCATGGGAATGCATGAAGCAGTGCTATTCAGGTTTTATAACACCAATAACTTCCTTAACTGCAAACTGTTAAATGCTTTTGAATTCTCTCTGTCTTTATCCAAAATTTGTCTTCACACAAAAACAAATCAAGAATTAAATTGCCTTTTTTTATATAATAGCATTAATTGGAAGTTTTAATGATGACTAATTTGGACGTAAAACATCACCACAGGGCGGCTATGCACACTATAACATAGCATTCATCTCACCATTACACTGATGGAAATTAACGCTTGCCCAATCACCCAAGGCTAGTAAAATCAATGATGGCCGAATTACATCAGGAGGTCACCCAAAATGTCAGGGTTTAATTGTTTGCATAGGTCCTATAAGTGAGGTGAACATTCCAAAACCAGATGAGACGGGATACTAGAGAAGCGTTGCCGAAAGGAGGTGTTGATCCCAAGCGCTATAAGCGCAGATCTTGCGCGCAATTCCGCGGCAAGGCGCACGCGACCGCGGGAACGTCCTACGACAGTATGCAGCGCTCGCAGCTATGGATCCGTGCGCCGAATGAATTGGCCGGCGCACGGATCCATAGCTGCCAGCGAAGTCCGCAATTTTACTGGGGGACACAGAGGGTAGACATTTGGGACGTGAACAGTGTTGACTTGTTATAAAAACATAATTTCTCTCTTCGTAACCGAGCTATAGATAGATAGATAGATAGATAGATAGATAGATAGATAGATAGATAGATAGATAGATAGATAGATAGATAGATAGATAGATAGATAGATAGATAGAGATATAAAGTCTGTGCCTTGTATATACTGATGCTAAAGCAGTAGCAGAATGAGCTTACATTGTTCATCGAGCAATATCGTCCTCTCAACAGATTTCCCTTTTATTATTATTAAATCAGGCCAAATTTCAGGATCCGGAACAAAGATCAAACAAACACGCTTTCGAGCAACCGGTCAATGATGATCATAGATTATATGCATTGTGCATCGCGGTCGTTATAGCACGCCTGTCATAGACCGATATTACCGAAAGCTTTCGCGGTAAACTCAGTAGAGATGTGAAGGCTTTACGAGTGGCGATGTATAGGCTAATGCACCATAGGTAGGCTCGGTGTCGACCCAAGCTAACTTTGTCTATTCCGATGTAAGCCGCCTGACCGATAGCATTGTTACCCTTATATATATATATCGGCATTTACCAGACCTGTAGGAAGTGTATTGTCAGTATTAGAGCAGGAGACCAAGGGGATCAGCCTAGCTGGAAAGGAAACCAATTTGCATGCATATAGCAATGATTCGTGTACATACCCATGTAAGGAAATGGAAGTCTGCCGGGCAGCCGGTGGTGGGTGTGGTCAGTGGGGCTGAGAGGGTCTATGTCCCCCAGGGTACTGCCGGAACGTACCCTGGGTACGATCCGGTATAGCGGAACGTACCCTGGTATACTATCTAATATGCCGTACCGTACCTCGCCTACTCCACTAACGAGTCTAGGGAGTCGCCTACGCCTACTCCTTAACCCTAACCCTAAGCCTAACCCTAATTCTAACCCTAATCCTAACCATATCAGATAGTTACCAGGGTACGTTCCGGTATACCGGACCGTGCCCAGGGTACGTTTCGGCAGTACCCTGGGGGACATAGACCCTATGAGCGTCAGTGGGGTCATTTGAAAGGCACCCCATAATTGAGCTAGATTAGCTGGAGAGGAAACCCTATGAAACCTATTGGAAAATGTTCGGCATGGTCCCAGGTATCAGGAATGGACACTGCCAGAATTTTTTAGTGGTGGGGCGCATCCGTCAGACCTAAAAAACCGTTACTCCAAAATTGAGCTAGAATAGCTGAAAAGGAAAATTTTAGTACATTCTTTTTGTAAAGCGCATAGAGACTTCTGTTAGTGCGCGCTATATAAGAATCTAATTATCATTATTATTTATACATGTAGTAGGGGCAGCGGAATGTGGTTCGGTCTCGTGGGCATTCGGTCTCGTGGGCCTTCGGTCTCGTGGTCCTTCGGTCTCGCGGGCCTTCGGTCAAGTGGGCAGACCCCGGTACGGTTATACAGCTGCATGATAGTTGATAGAGCAAGGAGCAGCTGGGAAATGTGAGTAGTCTACTCTTATTTTTTCACATTTTATTGTGTATATTCTAAATTAATGTGTTGTCTATAATAGGTTATAATAGGTTATATAATATGTGATGACCATAAACAATTTGTAAGGCATAAAAACGTCTGCAGGCATGACTGTAACTTGTTAAGACTGATAATTACTATTATCTACTGAGTTAGAGTGTAGTCTAGTAGTAGACAGCGTCTATAGTAAGTAATATTCTATATACAGGCCAGAACAGAGGGGGGCAGGTGGGCCATGGGCCTACGATTTTGAGGGGGCCTATACTCCCCCTGGTAGAGACTAAGGAGGACCCTTTGGTAAAGAATATTGATATTGTAAAGAAAGTCAAGGGGGATAATTTAGCACAAAATATTTTTATTTTAAAGAAGAATCATGAACGATTACTACACATGTATATAAATGCATACATAAATCATATGTATTTAGCACTGATTACAATGAAACATAATGAGCATAGTAGCAGCAGCAGCGCAGCAGCGCAGCCGCCGCCGCCACCACCCATCAGTGACCCTGCTTCACACACACACGCACGCACGCACGCACGCACGCACGCACGTACGCACGCACGCACACACACACACACACACACACACACACACACACAAATTCACTGGCAAACGTCAAGCGGGTTGACTGTGCTTTGCTCCCATCTTCTCGTCGAACCCTAGAGATGAAGGTACGACGTACACAGTATGTTACCGCGTTGTGGACACGTGCCTGGAGAGCATCTCCTGGGGACGGGTAGCAACCGATTATGGGTGGTCTCTGAAGGACAACCTATTGAAGCCAACATGGTTCGAAGGTCCGACCGTACCAGAGAGCTTATTTAAAAATGTCAATAACAACCCAGAGGACATGGAGGTTGAAGGTGACAGAACATATTCCGAGTTGTAAGTAGGCCTACTGAGCGTTTCAGAAGGTGAAGCATGGAGTGATGAAGACTCTGATGTGGAGGTGGAAGACGGGGAGTTCTTGTAGGAAACAACAAATTTTATAGAATGTTACGATCCAAAGTTTGGTCTATATACAGCTCGAATATTGAGATGGTTGAGAACCTTTAATTAGACAACTTGTAATTATATATTTTTTCACTTTTTCTGGGGGTCTGCAAGGGCTAAAGTTAAAAAATCAAATATGATAAATGACATAAAACATGATGGTTTAAACTGAATTTGATAGTTGATTATTAAAATGGATTTTGATATACTTGAGTACTGAATGTAAATGAAGAATAAAAAATGTTTAATTACTGGATTGCTAAATTGGGAGGCAATAATGTGATTTGGAATTTTAAATGTATGCCATATGATGTTTCATTTTATAGAAATAAAATACTTTTGTGTTAATACCTTTTGATGATGACCTTGTGAGTAATATTTTTATTTTTATTTATTTACCGTATGTCTTCATGATGGAAACTGTTCAGGTGATTTTTCTTGTCCGCATGATTTTGAAGACACTTCTTCTTTTTCATCCTTCGCATTATTAGTCCCACTCAAGTGGGGTCGCTGCAGTGGACTATACTGTATATATAACCACTATATATACACTGTATATGAGAAATGATAGTGTTGAGAAGAAGTGCTTTATATAAGGGAATAATGTTGTTTCATCAAATCAATGTGTTGTACATTCGAGATTTGTTAGAAGATTCTATTCTGCAAATTAACAACATGAAAAGGAAAGGTAGAGAGGCAAAGCTGACCGATGGATCAGTGGTTTCCTCTCCAGCTAATCAGAAGTAGATAATAGACTATTATCTACTTCTGAGCTAATCTATCTAAATAAAGAAGACCCGGGTGGGGGCAGTTGGGGGCGTCTGGTGGGCACACCCAACCACTGAATTATCCTGGCAGTGGCCATTCACGATACCTGGGACTAAGCCGAAAATTTCCCAGTGGGTTCCAAAAGGTTTCCTTCTCAGCTAATCTAGCTCAATTTTGTGGTATCGGTTTTTGAGGTCTGGCGGATGCGCCGCACCACTAAAAAATTCGGGCAGTGTCCATTCCAGATACCTGGGACCATGCCGAACATTTTCCAATAGGTTTAATGGGGTTTCCTCTCCAGCTAATCTAGTTCAATTTTGGGGTGCCTTTCAAATGACCCCACTGACCACACCCACCACCGGCTGCCCGGCAGAAAATTGGTTTCCTTTCCAGCTAGGCTGACCCCCCCTGGGCTCCTGCTCTAATACTGACAATACACTTCCTACAGGTCTGGTAAATGCCGATGTGGCAGTGTTTTTCGTGCTGGCGAGACACATTTATGATCATCCATAAAAACCATTGAACTGTACAACACGGAACAAGCCAACATACCAGATAATACCAGGTATTATTAGCTCTTGATAATACTAATAAAACATAAATTATGATTATACCTCAAAGAATACGTATACCAGGTATTATTAGCTCTTGATAATACTAATAAAACATAAATTATTATTATACCTCAAAGAATACGTATACCAGGTATTATTAGCTCTTGATAATACTAATAAAACATAAATTATGATTATACCTCAAAGAATACGTATGCGCGTTCATGCGTGCGCCGTACCAGTGTTAGTGTTATTTTGTGTATACGCCTGTATGCGTACGAAAGTACGTGTATGAAGTACGCAAGGACTTCGTGCGACGAAGTGCGCGTGGTTATATCACCTACGATTTTCAGTGGAGTTGTAAAATATATTACGTTAAGAGGATTTGCTTCTTATTTCTCATTCACCTGAATTATCTTCCTGCCCGCCCACTTGGCATGTGATTTATTTCAGGCACGTGTCAATTGCGTTGAGCCAATCATATAATTTATGTTTGAGTACACAGTAAAGCGTAATGCAAATACAGACTTTCGCTTTCAGGGTAGCTAGGATTAGCTGGGTCGTCAACCACCACATGGTCGACGTTGTGCGTGCATTTAATTTCAATATTATAGTCATAGATCGAGCTGACGAAATTAGCACATGTCATGGTTCATTGTAGATCTTGGCATGCAGGTGTTGATCGCCTTATATGTAGATATATATTGCATGGCTAATATATATATA